CCCCAAAACCCCAAAACCCCAAAACCCCAAAACCCCAAAACCCCAAAACCCCGTGGGAAAGAGTTGAGGTTGAAGATTTTTATTTAGAATGCAGAATTATGGGTGAAGAGGGATTTTGGGCTTATGTTGTCTTTTTGGCTAATCTTCTATAAAAGAGGTTAGTTTAGTGCTTTTGTGGGAGTTATCTTACCTTATCTTGCCAAAATTAGACTTGACCACACTGGACAGCTCCTTGATTCCATCGCACTCGAGCATTGGAGTAGGATCTGCCACTTGCAGATTCATTTGTGATTCCTCTTGAGACTCCGCTTGCTCCTTTTCGCTAAACTCGATAGGACATGACTCTTCAGTAGGCTGGGCTTTGAGCTGCTGAGGCTCCACTGGTTTTTGACAGCTGCAATTCTGTACTTTGGGTATTGTTTCCCTAGACTGATAATTACAAGGCTTACTTAAGAATGCTGCAGATTTGAAGAGATAATAGAGTAGCTTTCTCTAGTGAGTCTCCGATCTATTTTTAAACAAAAGATTACCTTGCCAAGGGATACTAGAAACGGGTTAAAAGCTTCTACTAAGATTTGAGAATTGATAGAATTATTTGCAACAGGATTTTGAAGGATATCTTGCTTTACTTCTTCATCATTTCTAGTTCTAAACTTTAATCCCATCCAACCCTCACTTGGATCCTCACCTATTAGGGTTGACAATAGCCTTCTCCTGTTCTTTCAACTCTCTCTTCTTCCTTGGTCTTCCTCTATTTTCTTTTCTTTGTCTCTACACATAGACTCTTTTCTTACTGATATTTGGGTCAAGTTCTTCTTCTGACAAAGTCTTCTTATTTAGATTATAAAACAGTTGACCTACTCTGGATTTAAGGCATTTAGAAATGGTAGGTTTCAATGAAGGAAATGTCTTTGATTCAGAAGTCAACTGCTTTCAGACTGATTTTGAATTGAATTTGGCCTTACAGCTGGATTTTGGTAGTTTTGTGACTAGAGATGAGGATTTTGAGGGTTCTATGGGTTAGAAGCAGGTTGAAGAGCTTACTTTCGCAATTTTTTTGGTAATTTTTGAGACTATATTGGAGTCAGGAAAAGATTATGAAAGGAAGTTTACCTCTTTCTTTTTGGTGGTCTGCCTCTCTTCTTTACTGATTTTATAATTTCGTTTTCTTTCATTATTAGAGTTATTTTAGTAATTATTCAACTAATTTTGCATATTAAGGGGTTTTGGGGTTTTGGGGTTTTGGGGTTTTGGGG